GGGCTGGGCTTTGCTGCAGGTGAGGAGGATGAGGAGGGAGGGGTTTGACCACTCCACAACCTTTGACTGAGGAAGCTTTGCTCCAGCCACGGGGCAGGACAGCAGCTGGAGCATCCCAATCACCAGCTGCTTTTCCCACCTTTAAATCTGGTTGGACTTGATCTAAGAGCTCTTTGCCAACCTGAATGATTCCATGATAAATGGGGGATACAGGGATCAGAGCTCCATCCCGCTGTGGCCAAACGTGTCCCAGAGGACTGTGGGTTGCACATCTCCCTCATCCCGCTGTGGGAATGAGGGAGGCTCTGGAGGACTGGGGCACACTTCGACCCCCCGATTTGGGGTGATGGTGCCTCTCTGATGGATGTTCCCGCCCCGTTCCCACCCCACACGGTCCCACACGGTCCCACCAGTATTACCCCGCTGCTTGGGCGCATAGTCGGGCACGGCAGCCCCCGCTCCCCTCGGGGCCGACCCCCTTCTCTGCCCTCCACAAGCTGCTTTGATTGGCTTCCAGCAGGACTTTCCTTGTCTGGCCTCTCTCTGTGTGTGTGCGTGTGTGTGTCCGGGGGGCCCGTTTTCCCGGGACGAGCTCACCAGGCCCTTCCCTGCCCGCAGATCTTCGGAACCAGCCGTACCGCCGGGCCGACGCGCTGAGGAGGAGCGTCCGCCGCCGCTTCGACGAGCACGGCCTGCGCCCCAACGGCCCCGACGTGGCCATGTGAGCCCCGGGGGGGCTCCCCGGGGGCCTCGGCCACGGACACTCCGTGCTCGGCGAGCCCTTGGGAACGGCCAAACCCACCCGCCGGGCCCGGGAACGGCTGGGAACCGCCCCGGAGCCACCAAGTGCCTGAGATGGAAGGACCTGCTCCAGGGACAGCGCCGGGACCTGGGCTGAGGGGACCCGGGCTGAGGGGTGTCCTCGGACGCGTCCCGCGGCGTCTGGAACCAAAATGTAAAATTCCTGCTGGTTTGGGGGGTCGGTTTGGCTGCCTGAGGGCGGAGTTCGGCAACTGGTCTCTCTCCACTGGTTGGAAACTGGGAATACTGGGATGTGCTCAGCTTTGAAATGCTCAGCTCTGAACTGATGATCCCTGTGCTGGTGCCCAGGGTGTTGGCTGCACTTATGGCTTGGGTTTTGATCACAAAGGAAGACACTGAAGGGCTTTCTGTAGGAATAACGATCCCAAGGAATGACCCGGCCCTTTTCCCACCCTGGGCACCTCCGGAGCTGGATGTGAGACCCAACACATCCATGATCCCAGAGAGAGGAACCAAACGAGGTCACCCCCGGGGCCAGAGGGGTTTTGGGGTCCAGGACATGGAGGGGGAGGCCCCACTGGCACTCACAGCTCTGGAGTAACAGCTATTTATTAATTAGCACTAAGCCAATTAACACCTCCGTAATCAGTATTAGGCTCTGGGACCACCTCAGTCCAGTTCCTCATTGGGGAATCAGCCCAGCCCTGCTCTGTGGGATCACACCCCGGGCCAATCCCACCCCCATTCCCTGCTGAGGCCCCTTTGGGCACCAAAGACAAGCCCAGCCTAAAATCCCGGGTAGTTTTTAGGTTCAAAATGGCTTTTTCCAGCCTAAAAAGGGACAGGAGACATTTTAGGCCCATCGTGCACCCCCAGCTCCCGGAGCAGCAGGAGGAATCCAACCCCTTGATCCTCTCAGCTGGGAAGAACTGGACTGAAGAGAGAGATTTGTCCTTTCCGAGACCCCTTTTTTGCTTCCAGCTTCTTCCCTGGGTTCGTCACATCCCCCTGTTAATTGTAAAATTTCTTGTATAGTATTTAACCACGGAATTTCTTGGCCCTTTTCCCTTGTGCTCCCTCCACTGGTGAAGGTCCCTGGAATCTTTTCCCCCCTCGGATAATGTGTAGTTATATGATAATCTGTTTTTAAATGTACAGATATTTTGCTACAAAATTGGTGCAGTTTTTTATGGTTTTTACACTTCTCTTTTATCCCCCCCCCCCCCCCTTTAGCCTCTGGGTAATATTGTAAATATTGTTTAAAATGAAATAAATGCATCAAGCCTGTGCTATACAATCTGAATGTTATTTTAACTTATAGTTTTTGTTTTTATATTTAACTAAACGGACAGTTTGGGGCTCAGAGTTACCACGTTGACCTATTTACAAGAATTTTTTGACTTTCAAAACTGCCAATTCCTTGCATTTTACAGCACTTGACCCACTAAAGAGAACATGCCACCCCCTCCTTTGCCTCCCTGGCAGTCACAAGGAGTTGTTTGAATCAGAAGAAATGGGATAATTTTAAATTCAGTGTGATAGATTGTTGGTTACAAGCTCCAGATCTCGACTTCTTCAGCTCAAAGGTATTTTTTTAACTGAAAGACCCAAAATTCTCCAGGCTGGCATGTTCTCTTTAATATTTTTCTAGTAATAGATCTGCTTCTTAGCAAGATTAGAGTGTTTTATAAAGCAGTTCACGTTCCTTTCCTGGTCTGTTCCTGCCATAAAATCAAATAAACTATTTACACTACTACAGCCAAATCCTCACCGGGTTTTTTTGGGGCACTTTTCCCTTTTTTTTTCCCCTTCCCTGCTGGTGAATGTTGGACAGGAGAACTCCTGGAGGTTGGGGCAGCTCTGGGGGGATGGACATGGAAATGATTCCCCAGGTGATTTGCAGCATTAATTTACTGTTTGTTACTCTGGGAAAAAGAAATTCCAGATGATCCCAGGAAAAATCGCAAATCACCCAAGGAAAATTACTAATAAAGCCAGGGGAAAATCCCAAATCCCCCAGGAAAAATCCCAAATCATCGCAGGAAAAATCCCAAATAATCCCAGGAAAAAAAATCCCAGATGATCCCAGGAAAAAATCTCAAATCATCCCAGAAAAAAAAATCCCAGATAATTCCAGGAAAAAATCCCAGATAATTCCAGAAAAAAATCCCAAATAATTCCAGGAAAAAATCCCAAATCATCCCAGGAAAAAAAATCCCAGAATATCCCCGGAAAAAAAAAATCTCTAACCATCCCAGGAAAAAGCCCTCAAATAATTCCAGGAAACATCCCAAATAATCCTGGGAAAAATCCCAGATGATCCCAGG